AGATACGTTCCAGACACCACTGTGATACATGTGTCGAACTGCGCAGTAGGAACGCTATATTTATTTTAGTCTTTATATATATTTTAAGTATTTATAAACACTTCCCACACTCTTACAATGTTCTTAATAATGTTCTAAACTCTTAAACCTACATAATTTTAACAACATACGTATAAGTACTGTACAGTACTGCAAAATTGTATATGGTTACTCACCATTGAAGATACTACTACATCTTGAACTATAAGTTCAGCTTCAGGATTATTTGTGACTTTTTCCTGCCAGTTCTGTGAGCTTAATTTATAGATCGCTACTTCTGATATTGTGTTGCAAAACTATTTATACCACATCAGTTTCTCCGCTAGTGTTTGCTCCCTCTATCGCTGTTTTTTGAATTTCGGCAGAAAGCAGCAGCCAGATGCACTGTTGGCTTCTGGACCATGTAGTTTTTTTTTTTACTTGCGTTACAGTGTAGGCTTATTGAAAGAAAACTACAAAATGGTGGCACCTATCCGAAGTTTTTTGTTTGTTTTGTTTTTTTGTCCTATTGGTTGGTTTCCACTCCCATCCGCGCTCATTAACTTTTTATCCCGTACCGTCCCAATCTCATGATTAATATTAAAGTTGACAATCGTGTGTCGTGTACAATCTTACGTTGAAAACCCGCAAGTGAGTCTTTGAATGTCAAACCACATAGTATTGAAGGACTACTGTAGTAGAATTCATTCATTCAACCTTTATTTATACAGATTATTCTCACTGAGTCACGAGGGCTCATTTTCAGATCAGACCTGCAAAACGCAAACTATTAAATTCAATACTTAAAAGCAACAGAAAGCTAGCTAAACAAAGAAGAATGCTAGCGAAATGATAAAAGTAACAAAAGGCCAGCTGAAAAGTAAAAGTAGCACAACTCTTCCAAAAATCTAGTAGTAACAAACACTAAAAGACACAAAATTGGAGCTGAAAACTAAAAGAAGGTGAATGCTAGCTTTAAATCTAAAAGTCAAAACGATAGATAAAAGCTAAAAGTAGCATAATAGGATACCAAAAAAGGTATGCTGAAGTAAGAAAACAATGTTTTGTATTAAATTAATGAGCAGGAACATTTTTGATTTAAAGTTAAATATTTTGAAAAATCGAAAATTAACAAAAAAAAAACAGCTAAACTAAACAAATTATTTATTGTATGTTGAAACATTTTGAGTTTCTACTTGTGATTGTTTAAAAACTTGATGATTTACGACTCCTTTTTGCTTTCAGGTCATGGCACTTTACCTTATTTCTATGGGAATGTTGGCAACATTGTAGTGAGCCCCCTGCTGGTCAGCTGCTATAAGAGCAGCCAGCTGACAGACAAAACCCTGGAGACACTGGGCCTCCACAGCAGTCAGCTACTCAGTGTGGAGACGATGATCCTGCTCACGTTACAGTACCTTGCACGTTTAGGTGAACAGCCAGCACAAAACCTTCAAAGCACATTTAAAAGTTGCCTTGTATTTATGTTTTATTGTGTATGATTGAGAAGTGACGATGCACATGGACAGAGCAAATACTTCCGTTTAAACTTGAATGATTCCTGCAGGTTCGGAGCAGATTCCTCTGCGGGAGGAGTTGGAGCAGATCGTTTTGAAGGCCATGTTGTGCTGTCCCGGGAATCCCACCATCTCCCCATCCCAGCTCCCGTGGCTGGCTCGGCTAGAAGCGAGCGTCTCCGGGGGAAGCGTCCAAGTGGTCGTTACCCACAACTCCTTGGGGGAAGGCATTTCTGAGTCCCTGCGTTCTCTCAGCGAAGGTCCACAACAGCAGCGGTGCCTGCCAACCTACATGGTCATTATATGCGCCTCGAAAATAAACGGCAACGAGTTCTGTGTGCTCGTTTTGGGTGGGTTTGACACTAATTTATTCTTAACTTATCATGTCAGTACTACTGCACATCATTTCACAACGATCCTAAACATGCAGGAAAGTACCAAGCCCGTGCTTTAGCAGAAGGGATGCTGACAACCAACGAGTTTCTGAAGGAAATAAGCTATGAGCTCATCACAGGGAAAGTCAGCGTCTTAGCATCTCACTTCAAAACCACTTCTCTTGGTAAGTGCTGAAGATATGAAACATTTGCTCGTATCTTTACATGTCTGAGTGAGTAAATTATTTAAAGATTAAAAAAAAAACTGAGTGGAAAAGAAGGACAGCTGTTGCTCTTGTCTGCCTGTCTCTGTGTGACTAATGGTGACTGCTGGTTTCCAGGGGACAATCTTGACAAGCAGCTCGTACGGTACCAGCGCAGACGGAAAGGACAGGTCGTCCAGCCCTTTCAGGGCGATGTCACCGATCACATCCACTCCCAGGAGGCCGCCAGCATGTCGCCACCGGCAGACACAGGTCGGAGTGGACTCTCTGTTTTAAGCTCAGATATTTAGCTACTTTTATGGTTGGCAAACTGTTTTTTTTTTTTTTTCTGGACTAAAGGGAGCAATCAAATTGTGGTGATTTGTTAGGATTGTACACCATTAGATACAGAATGTTTATTCAAGCTCAACTCAGTCAATGTCAGCTCATCAAATATTTGATTTTATTTATTTATTTATTTTCTTGTGAAAGATACATTTATATGATGAAACTCCCAAAAGTTAAGCAATGGGGGAAGGATTTGTTAGTTACATCAGTAGAACAGACAAAAAAAAAAGTTTTTATGGTTTCATGTATTGAACAGCAAATATATATTTTTAATGTATTTTAACACGTTAATTTTAAAATGTCAGATAGAAACTTCTCAATTGTGGTTTTGTTTTATAGTAGTATTTTGTAATAGTTGTGTAAAAATGAAAAAGGGACGTGTAAAAGAAACGTCTCAAATTAACAAGAGCAAATCGTAGAGTGAAACCTCCAAATACTTTTGCTCAATAATTTCAGGCTAAAGATTTTTATGGATCTAATATTTATCACTTGTCATAGTCAGTTATTTCTACAGGAAAAAAAAAAAAGATAAAAAGATTATTAAAGATAGAAAAAAATGTTGAAAAAAATACTCTAAATTTCCCATTTGAGATTTTTAATTGTTTAAAATAATATTGATTTTAAAGCAGACTTTGTTTACAGTTACAGTACAAACATTTGCTGGTGCTTTTTTAACAGAAATCAATAAAAATAAACCATTTACAAATGCAGCACAAAACTGTTGTTCAAATCTATGTTTTACTGTAAAATTAGCGACCGTATCTTTGCTTTCTGCTCGTTTCTCAGCAGCAGATCTTTTAAATAAGGTCTTTCAGATCTACCCCTCCCAGCTGAATGTGGCTCGTAGCCTCCTCTCTCAGGTCTGCTCCATCGCTGATTCAGGGACCCAGAACCTCGACTTGGGCCGTTTTTGTAAAGTGGACTTCCTGGTTCTGGTCCCTCCGTCTCACATTCTGGTACACCAGACTGCACAACGTATCCGACAATCAGGTACCTGTGGAAGAAAATATCATCCTTTAGCCTAAAGGATGACTTTTCTACTTGCTAATACCAAATGATCTTTATTTTCTCCCAGACTTCAAGCAGTGATTTAATAAGGCTTTAACCAACTGAGTCTCATAATTGTTGTGTTTTTGGCTCAGGAGTGCTTATCGACCTGGGAAACGAAGATGCCTTCACAGCTCACCTGAGAGCAGAAAAGTACGTGGTGCGTCTGGACGCTGACGTCCACACCAAGATAGAGGCTTTCATGAAGAAAGTCAAGCAGAACCCCTACACCCTGTTTGTCCTCATTCATGACAACTCGCACGTCGACCTCACAAGGTGAAGAAGGCTCTTGAAATAAGGAAAACCTTCAATAAATATGTATAGCACAGCCAGTGCTTTTTGAAGTTTATGGGAAAAGAGAAGATGTTATGACTGCAGAAACATCCCTGTCTGTCCTGTTCGTGAAATAAAGTGGAGAGCAGCCGCAGACGAGTGGAACAAATTCATAGTCTTGAATATGGTTAAATGCGGTGGCGGCTGCTCAATAGGGGGCGCTAGGGCGCCGCCCCACCACTCACACCACTCACCATATTAC